AAGAGGTTAAGACGAGGGAAATGAAACCTATTTCTTTTAAGTGACAAATGAGGTTGCTGAGAACCTCATGAAGGAGTTGGTTCAGGTCACCACAGGGTGGTTTTTCCAAGTGCATGTCACAGCGGAGCTTTTCTGCAGTCGTGGCCCTCATGGCCGGTTGTCTGACCTAGTTACTTCTGGTAGGTAATTGTACACTCGCTTATATGGTTCTGGCTGTAACTCAAGAGCCCCAGCGAGACTAAGGGCAGGAGCTGACTGCTATACTTCCTGTCTCCACGGCAGTGTCTCAGAACGCTGTCATCCCGTGAACCCCTGTGATAAACATGGAATTCTCATCTGCCCCCTCAAATCTAAAGAAGCCCCTTAGAGAGAGGAGGCTGTCTGTCTGTCCGCCCCCCGCCCCCGCCCCCAGCCAGCTGGAAATCCCGGTGTTTACAAGGCCCGTGTGGCCGAGAAAATGTAGTCAAAATTTAAAATATGTCTTATTGAAACTATCGGTAATTTTTTGGCTTTTTAGATATAAAATATAAAATTATAATAATAAATATCCTTTTTAAGTCACAATGCTATACCAGATCCTGATAACTTTTTTTTCTCCCTTCTCCTCAGCCTCCTCTTAAAAATTACTTCTTTACTCTTACTGACTTAAACTTATGATGTGCCTTCAGTTGTTCAGAAAGTTGTTATATTGTTAAAAGAACTTAGGTCCCAGATTGCTAGAGACGGGTATTTGTATGTGGTTGATAGAATGGTTAGTGTTCAAATACATATTCTTGCAAAGTAAAATCAATATAGTAGTGAAAAACAGAATTTCATAAGTAGAAACTATTTTTTAAGATTTCTTTCTTTTTTCTTTATGAAGTTCTCAGTTTTGTAGTATTTGTATTCTAACATATTCCAATCTTTCCAAGACAAAAATAGGAGCAGTTCTCTTTAAGTCACTGGTTTCAGCCTGAACATCTGTGTCTTCATTACTCAAATACATCTTTTATTTTCTTATTTAGAGGTTTCTTAGAAATATTTTGTCTATTTGAGAGAGAGGGAGAGTGCAAGTGAGGGGAGGGGCAGAGGCAGAGAATCTCAAGCAGACTCCATGCTGAGCAATGAGACTGAGACCAATGCTCATGACCCTGAGATCACTGCCGGAGCCAAATTCAAGAGTTGGATGTTTAAACAACTGAGCTACCCAGGGAGGCAACCCTTATTTAAAACTTTTTTAATTGAAAAAAATAATGTAAAAATTTAATTTAAGTATAATTAACAGACATTAGTTTAAATGTATCATTTAAATCTGATCAAGTCACGGTCTTAAAAAAACGGCTATTAAAAAAATGGCTGTGTATAATTTCTTTGTGTGTGTATGTGCGTGTGTGTGTGTACAATTTCCGTCTCCTGAAGAAATCACACAGGTTTTAGAGTCCACAGAACAAATAGAATTCAAGCAACAAATAAGGTGGAAAGCTGTCTATTTAAGAAAAAAAGATACAAAGTACTTCTCAGAAGTTTAGAAATCTAATCTATAAGAGACCAAAATATGTTTATTTTTATTGTGGTAAAATTTACATGTAGTGAAATGCACATGTTAAGTGTATAATTTAGTGAGCTTTGATAACTCTGTCCATATACCCATGATGCTATCATTCCAGAAAGTTCTTTAATGCTCGCTTCCAACCAATTCTAGCCCCTTGGACATCCACTGTTCTGATTTCTTTTACAAAGATTATACTTTTTGTTCTTGAATTTCACGTAAATGAATCATACATAAAATGTACTCTTCATATTGCTCAATATAATGTTCATGGGATTCATCCACATTGTTGAAGTATCTGTAGCTCATTCTTTTTTTTTTTTTCTGAGGCTCATTCTTTTTAATGGCTAAATGATACTTATACCATGATTTATTTGTCTATCCTTTTGATGGGCATTTGGATTGTTTTCAGTTTAGGTTATTATAAATAGTGCGAGTATAAACTTATTACGGAGTCTTTCAGTAGACATGTGCTTTCATTTGTCTTGGGAGTAGAATCGCTGACCTGCAGGGTGCATGTGTTTTTAACTGTATAAAGAAGAGTCAAACAATTTTCTGAAGTGGTTGTACTCCCATCAGAAACATAGGAGAGGTTCAGTTGCTCCTTTACCTGACACATATGCAAATTGGAGAGGTCCTTAGTTACTTTTCAATGTCATGTCTTTTCAGAAAATATTTTTTTTTAATTTTTTTTTAAATTTATTCAGAGAGAGAGAGAGAGAGAGAGGCAGAGACACAGGCGGAGGGAGAAGCAGACACCATGCAGAGAGCCCGATGTGGGACTCAATCCCCGGTCCCCAGGATCACGCCCTGGGCTGCAGGCGGCGCTAAACCGCTGAGCCACCCGGGCTGCCCTAGAAAATATTTTTGATAGCATTAAATAAATCCCAGGCATGCATACTCAACATTCATAAATACATGTACTTCATACAAAATATAGAGCCATCCAACTTTAAGGAATTGTTCTGTTCCTGAAAAATTGGTGTGTAAAGCTAATTTTTTGGCAAATCAAATCACTTACTGAAATAAGTCTTCCCCTACTTTGATGTCTAGTTCAAGTTCTCTTTTTCTACAGCATCCTCTCATGCTGTCCTGGCCTTCGGGGATTTATTCATTCTCCAGATTTTAGCAGCCCCAGTGATTTGTCATCAACATCACTCCTTTGGATCTACATCATTCATAGCTTGGTTGATTCATCTACTTTATATATTTCATTTCTTTTTTTTTAAGATTTTATTTATTTATTTGAGAGACAGAGCACAATGGGGAGATGGGCAGAGGAAGAGAGAGAGAGAAGCAGATTCCTTGCTGAGGAGAGAGGCTGATGTGATGTGGAACTCCATCCCAGGACCCTGAGATCATGACCTGAGCTGAAGGCAGACATTTAACCAACTGAGCCATCCAGGCGCCCCCGTATATTTCTACACACACAATACCTTTATTGAGGGAACAACTCACATTTCACACTTAAAAAAATTTCTTTTCTAGGATACAGTATAATGCCTTGCACACACGAGTTACTCAACAAAATTTTCTGCTTAATTGGCTTTCTATCTTCATTTTGCCTTAGGCAAGGCATCAATGGGGTTTAAGTAATTTACTTGTTTTAATTATATGGCAATTTCCTTAATTTTCCATTTTTCTTGACCATCGTAAGCTGGGCCTGAGGTTAACTGTTAGCTAAAATCTGCTTCCTTTACCACCCTACTAATTCTTAGTTTAAAGCACCATCTACACAGTGTGGTTTACAATGAAAAGCACACCATAGGAAATTAGGGATTCCATCTGGGGTTTCCCTCTAATTCTCCCTGGGGCCTCTGGTTTGCCACTTACAGGTCTGCACAAAGTACTGGATTCATCTTCCAGTCCCTGGAGGCTGAAATTCTTCCAAACCTGGCTCAGAGATCATCTGTTCGTAAGTGATATCTTCCTCCCTTGCGCAGGGGCCTGTCTGGTTCTCAATGCACCTGCACTCCTTTGTTCATGTCTCCTGTTTAGTACCTAGCACTTTGAGGCAGGATTTATTTATGTTTGCCTGTCCACAACTGGACTGTTGGGCTCCTCAGAGCAGGAGCAGGGGTCACGTACCTCTACATGTAGTAAGTCCTCCACAAGTTTTTTTTTTTTTTATGATAGTCACAGAGAGAGAGAGAGAGAGAGAGAGAGAGAGAGAGAGAGAGAGAGAGAGGCAGAGACACAGGCAGAGGGAGAAGCAGGCTCCATGCACCGGGAGCCCGACGTGGAACTCGATCCCGGGTCTCCAGGATCGCGCCCTGGGCCAAAGGCAGGCGCCAAACCGCTGCGCCACCCAGGGATCCCCCTCCACAAGTTTGATGCATAAATGCATGGATTAATGAGTAGTAGATGAATATGTATACTAAATCTACGAGTTTGTATTTTACCTTTACATGTGAATGTATGTAAGTAAGCTCTATGCCCAGTGTGGGGCATGAACTCATAACCTCAAGATCATGAGTTGCATGCTCTACTGACTGTGCCAGCCAGGCATCCTAGTATTTTAACATTTTAAATTTTAAATTTTTAAGAAATATTTTATTTATTTTAGAACTGGTGGGAGGAGGAACAGAGGGACAAGTATATTCCATGCTGAGCATGGGAGCCTGATACGTGGCTCAATCCCACAGCCCTGAGATCATGACCCAGGCCAAAACCAAGAGTCGCCTGCTCAACCAGACTGAGCCACCCAAAAGGCTGCACCTCTAACATTTTTAAAAATATGCAAATCTGGAGAATTTTTGGTGACAAAAGGACTGTTTCAGTTAATTCTCTTACTCTCCTTGCATGAGGTAGACACGTGCTGTTCTGTTGTCTGGCATCCCTCCATCACTTTTTGGGATGCATTCCTCATTCTTTATGGGACCCATCCCAAGTGGTTTGGTGAAGATTGCCCTGACTCCTGACTTTCCCTGACCCCCGCCTATCAATTCTGGCCTACACCTGGCCAGTCAGAGGACATAGTAATCGGTTCAGGGTTGAGCATGCAACTTGAACAAGCAAATCCGTTTTCCTGTGATTTGTTATGTTGTGAGCTACCAAGAGAATTTAGGCTGGTGGTGCCCAGAAGCCAGCTTTCCCACCTTGTTGCGGAGAGCTTGTGTTGGAAAAAACCTTACTGGTGGAGAAAAGTGTGTGAAGTGATGAAAGAGGCCATTCTGGTAATGGGCATTGCAATTGCCTAGTGGTGTGGACTGGTTTAGATTTATATTTCTATCATGTTGACGTTCAATACCCTTCAGATTTTTCATCCTTACTGCCCTGAGACTGAATCTAAGTCCTGAGAGATTATTATTTTTTTCCCAAGTTTCAGATATTATTCAGTGTAAACCCCAATACAATACACCAACATGATTTTGTGCATTTAGGGGGGAAATAATTCCTGGATAAGTGGAAAATTATCCAGCAGATGGCTTCTGGAAGACCTTCATTCTAAGCAGCCTTATAATGAAACATTTCATTTAGAAGTCTGGACCTTCTTCTTCAGTTTGCTATAATCTACATTCACTGAATATAACTTGTATTGATCATTGGGACCCAGTTTGTTCCAGGGTTCTGTGTTATTCTTCTTATCCCAACTGACATCTGGATTGAACAATGCCAAGTGCAAGACATACAGTGCTGCTCCAGTACCTCTTGCCCCAATAAATATGAAGAGGGGGATCAAGTGCTGATGCTTCTTGACCTGACTGATGATCTGGTGTAACATGATTGTGGCAGAGGCCTTTTGTGCAGGAGAAGAAAAAACCAAGTTTCTGTAAGGCCTGGAACTAAGTAATGTCATGTCCTGGGAGATTCTTGACAGCTGTAAGGAGAGCCATCTGCCTTTTGGTTTTGCTCTCTCTACTCTGTACTGGCTTTTCCTAGATGTGATGACTTCCTGTGGTTCTGGAGTATGTTGGCTTCTGTAACTTTTCTCCTCAGTGCTCCTACTGCATTGTGTGCATTTCCACCATGGCCCAGGTGGCCTGTTCACCCAGGTCAGTCTGCAGCTTTCCTCTCCCATTCACTCATTTCATTCTGTTGGCACTTTTTTGGTAGCTCCTCTACATCCTTCTTATGGACATAGGGAAGGTGTATTAGGATTCTCCTAAGAAATAGATTCAATAGGCTTTGTATATACAGATAAAAATTTTATTTTAAGGAATTGGCTCATGTGAATAGGGAGGTGAGCAAGCTCAAAATCTGCAGCATAGGTTGGTGGGCTGGAGAGTCATGAAGAGCCACTGCTTCAGTTCAAGGCTGAAGGCTCAAGCAAGATGATTGCTCCCCATACCCCTTGTTGCCTTTTTTTTTTTTTTTCTTGAGGCTGCTAAATACCATGGCTCTAGAGAAGGCTGCTCTTGGATTCTACTCTGCCACAGCAAGATGGAATACAACAGGGAACTTTGTTGTGAGGCACAAACCACCTCTATTCTTGAATCTTCAACTCTTCCCCTCAACTCAGCCCAGGGTGGGACAAGAGACAGCGACTTCCGCAAATTCATCTTCCCTCTCCATTCAGCAGGCTCTGTTTGGAGCTGTGATGGTAGGGATGGGAAGGTGGGATGAAGGGGACTCATTCAGTCAGACTACCTTTCTTTTCAAGTCTTTCCCTATACCTATATCACAATTTAATTAAACTTAAAAACTGAGAATGGTTTTTTGCAATGCCATTCTGAGAAGAATGGTACCCCAGAATTGTGGTACCAATCTGGTTGAAAATTCATTCTTTTATTTTAGTACATTAGCTACGTGAATATTGTATTTTCCTTTTTCATCTGCTTGAAAATTCATTCTTTTATTTTAGTACATTAGCTACGTGAATATTGTATTTTCCTTTTTCATCTGCTTTCTTAAACTCAGCTGTGGGGGCTGGAAACAAAGCTATTTTAGGTAAGAAATGTCTCACCTCTATAGTTTAAAGTTAAATGAATACATTTAAAAATTATTGGGTGGGGATAAAATCATCCATCAAAGACAAAAGCCTTGATCATGAAAAAGGAAAGCCCTTAACTTTTGAGCAGGGTCAGTTCCAATTAGAATAGAAATAGGTGAACTATGCATAAATAAACCTTACACTTTCTCCAGTTTTTCTTATTTTTACCACTTTAACCATAAAGATGCAGAATATAGGGTGAAGGGGAGTACCTTGGTAGGATTAAAAAAAAAGCCTATTAAAAACCAGATGCATGAATACTAGTTTAAAAAATGCTTTAAAGGGGCATCTGGGTGGCTCAGTGGGTTAAGCATCTGCCTTCTGCTTGGGTCATGATCTCAGGGTCCTAGGGATCAGCCCCCCCCCCCAATCTGGCTCCCTGCTGAGTGGGGAGTCTGCTTCTCCCTCTCCCTCTGTGTGATTGCTTGCTCTCTCTCTCTCAAATAAAAAATAAATCTTTAAAAAAATGCTTTAAAGATAACCTTTATACACAAAGTAGCACTATGACCATATTTGGGCATAAGATAAAACTGAACTGCAAGAATGCAAATTGGTTTCTCTTTTCAACTAAATCCTAAATTATCACTAAGATGGAATCACTAGGTTAAAAGAACTCTACCAATCCTACTTTTGCCAAGTATCTAGATCTTAACAAGCAATTTGGAAAACAATTTTGAGCAGTTTGTAAATTTCATGGAGCTTTGCTAAGGGAACAAATGCTATTGAAGACGATAAAGACACCTTTAAAACTCTTTGGCTCTTTTTAAAACACAATAATAAAAAATCAGAGCTTGAAAGGATTTTGGATGGTCATTCCACCATCTGAAACATGATTTATTATTATGCTTACATAACTGGAAACAGTATTAACTTTGTAAAGTGTATTAAACAGAAACAATGTGGCCTAGTAGAAGACCATGTAGTAATTTATTTCTTCTTGCATTTATTCAGCAATCATATAATGAGGAGATACTATTTAGCAATATTTTTCTCCATTTTTTACTTCAGCCCCCCCCTAGCTAGCCCACATGTTTGCACTGTATGCTCAGCTCTCTGCCAGCTGTCACTCCTCTCTCCTGGGACAAAAGTGGGTTACTGCAAGCTTTCCGTATCTCCTTCCCTTCTTCCTGTCTCCCCACCCCTATTCTAGTCTGAGCTTCTTCTTTCCTGGTATGATAGGTATCCTGTATTTTCCTTAGATCCAAAAGATATACAGAATGTAGGACAAACGTCAAATAAATTGTCTCTATGTTATGAGGTAGTTCTGTGCTGTGGGAAGACTATTGAAGTCGGAGGAGTATTGAAGAGGGAAACAAAGTCATGGCAAGTTGAGGCTTGGTGGGGATATACATATGGCCTAACCAATAATCAGAACATGTGCCCTGACAAGAAAGTGAAGGTTTATAGGGAAAACAGGGCAGTATATTTGAAATCATGCTTGTCCTCATAAGTGAAGATGCACCGTCACCAAACTTACATAGTGTTTGTTACATCTCTTGATTAATTGGGGGAAAATACTGGCCGTGATGGGATTACAGGAATTATTTGAATGAAGAGTGCGGGACAAACTTACAATGAAAGAGGAAGGAAAAAATACTCCAGGTACAGGATTAGGCATGGGAACAGGCAAGAGAAAAAGGGAAGTGTACATTTAGTCAAGTACCTGACTGAACATTTGCATGATTGCCTAACTTTATGGCTAAGAGATTTTCCATTTTCCTCTCATTTTTTTAAAAATTGCTTTTGATTGGAGACACAGAACTACTACTGGGAAGAATTACTAGGGGAGCCTGGGTGGCTTAGTTGGTTAACTATCTGCTTTGGGCTCAGGTCATAATCATGGAGTCTAAGGACTGAGCTCCCTGCACAGCGAGAGTCTGCTTCTCCCTCTCCCTTTGCCCTTCCCCTCTGCTGATGAGCTTATGTTCTTTTTCCACTCTCACTCTCAAATAAATAAATAAAATCTTAAAAAAAATTACTTGTTATCCCATAGTATATGTTTAAGATTTAATCTTTACAAGGTAGGAATCATCCACATTTTCCTATGAGAAAACCAAAGAATCACTAACTCCCATAGTTATGCAGCTAGCAATAGCAAATTCTTGACTGTCTGATTCCAATGAATTTGTTTCAGCTAAGAGGACATAACCTGAATTTCCTAAACAGAATCTGGAATTGAGGGATTCTATCAAGATTCATGGGCTTGAGAGTAACAAGAATCATACTTGAAATCACTTCACATCCGGTTTTAAAACTTCAAAAGTGGAAGGAAAATACTTTAAAAAATACTTTTAAAAATACTGCGCATTTTTAAAAAGACTGAGGCAAAGTGGACCATGGCATAAAAACCAAATTATCCGTGTAGAAAGGGCCTGCATGAGGTGGGTTTATGATCCAGTGGGATCCCACCACCTCACGTGAGCGCTGTCCTCCTGAGGTCTCATTTCTTCATCAGTGATTTGGATTTTTGAGACCCTCTTAAGTTATTCAAACTTTCTGAATATTCACTTTTAAACTAACACCTACTTCAAAATAGAAAGTTTTAAGCTCCTTCTCAGCCAGGTACTGTAGATAACAGGGCAAGAAGTGGAACCCTTCATAAGGAGAGCCTCATCACTCAGGGTGTCCAGAAATCCCGCCCAGGGTGCCATATGCAGCCTGATGCCCTTCACTAATTCTCATGCACAGAACTTGATTAATATTTAAAGAACACTCCAGTCTTCATTTCTACCATTATTAAGGAAGCTAACCTGTCATTATTCTACAGATGGGTTCCTACCAGATTATGACATGGCCTTTTAGGTTATAGTTATAAGGGCGCGGCTCTGGAGTCAACTGAAACTGGGTTCAAACGCAGTCCTGTTCCTCCTGGGCAGCCTTAAGGACATTCCTCTATTAAATGGGCAAATCTTCAAAGGGAAACAAAACAGTTCCCACACCACAGAGCAGCCGTGTGCGGATGGATAACCCACCAAAAAAGCCCAAGGGCAGGGACCAGCAAATTCCAACAAACCTTAGCCTGAAAGTGAAAACTTTTCAATTGGGATTAAGGGACATTCCATTAGAACCAGTTGTCAATGACATTTTAGGAGATCCCTTTTTTCTTTTTTTTTAAAGATTTATTTATGAGAGAGAGAGAGAGAGAGAGAGAGAGAGAGAGAGAGAGAGAGAGAGAGAGAGGCAGAGCCATACAGGGAGAAACAGGTTCCCCACCAGGAGCCTGACATGGGACTGTTCTCCAGGATCATGACCTGAGCCCAAGGCACACGCTCAACCACTGAGCCACCCAGGAGCCCCAGGAGCTTCCCTTTTTCAGCAAAAGTCCATTTCTACTTAAATTTGCAGAAGTCTAGAATTTTTTAAAAAATATTTTGCTTAATCATGAGACACAGAGAGAGGCAGAGACACACACAGGCAGAGGGAGAAGCAGCAGGCCCCCTGCGGGGAATCTGAGGCTGGCCTCCATCCCAGGACCCCCAGTCAAGACCTGAGCTGAAGGCAGGCGCTCAACCACGGGTCACCCAGGGGCCCCGCAAGTTTACATTTTGATGCATTGACGGATTTTAGTGAAGCAAGACAATTAGCAGCTTGGGCAAGTTACTATCCCCGTGACTCAAAGTCCGGGCTTCTGGCTTTCCTGGGCGCTCGGTCGCCTCAAGACCCGCAGGCGAGGTGGGAGGGGAGGGGAGGGGAGGGGAGGGGAGGGGAGGGGAGGCGGCAGGTGTGCCGCGGCGCCGTCCCGCCTCCGGGAGGGAAAGGTTTGCCTGAGGCCCGGGCGCCGGCGGGTTCTC